ACGAAAATAGTTCCGATCAAAGCCACAGCAGAACTGTGTTGTCTCAGAGCAATACAGCGGTGTTTCGTTACTGAATGAATCCACGTTTTTGAACAAATCGAGTGTCAATGATTCAGTGGCCCATTCATAAGGACAGTCACTTGCCTCGTTTCTGAATGAATCAGCCGTTTGAATGAATCAGTTGAATGAATGAATAAATGACTCATTAAAACAGACATTTGCCGCCACCTACTGGTGGTTTAGTCATATTTAAAAGTATCATTGCATTTTTTCAACATTTATTTGTTTAAAAAATAAAAAATAAAAAATAAAAATAAATAAAATAAAACATTAATCTTATAAAATTAGTTATGCATTTGAAATTTTGCACTGTAAATGCATTTATGGCACCTCAGCTTCATCAAACTGTCTGTGTAAATGCATCTAATGCCACTTCAGATGCAGCTTCTGTTTCCTCAGCAGTGGTAAGATAGAGTTTGTTAATACTAATTTCATTTGAATGGTAACAAACAACTCTACTCTTATTATTCTAACTGAATTAATTGAAACAAAGTAAGAATTTGATGTGAAAGATGACACATTTAATAAGGTTAGGGGGGAAAAAAATGACCATTTATAAACGGTGGGAAATGACATCGGTTTTGTTACATACAGCAACTAATTTTAAGTTAACTATTTCTTCCTCTTTCCAGTCACGGAGCACTTTATTTTGAGAGAAAATCTGTACCTTAGTCCAGATTGGGGGAATTGTAATGTTTAATAATCTCTTTTATGTAAATAATTTTTGCATTGAAATTTGCATAGATTTTTGTTTGTATATGTTGTCAATTATAGTTCTTAGAGAGAAAATCAGAATCGGCAAAAATTGGTATCGGCAGGTCACACTTCCAAAAAAAAATCTGAATCGGCCAAGAAAATTGTAATCGGTGCATCTCTAGTGATTATTCATGTAAACCCTCATAAGTTATGTCTTAAGTGAACGTAAACAGCTGAGAATGAAAATACAAGTGAAACAATACATTGGAACTGATAGCTCTCAATTATACTGTAATGTTGAAAGGCTATAGTCAATGGTTAAATACTAGGGGGAAAAAAAGAACAATTTCCTAGAGACATCAGTAGTATTGTATCGGTGATACTCGCTTCAATCATAGATGCAATTAAACAGATATTAAAAATATACTGTCTTTGTTGTTTCTAAATTAAATTGAAGATCGAACGTGAAATTATTGCAATATAAAAGTATATTTAAAAACTTTAAAATGTTAGGTGGGATTAACCATGATTAATTTCAGGAAAAAAAAGTGTGATTTGTTTTTTTAATCGATTGACAGCACTACTACTGATGTCTCTACTAAAAGCATTTTTCTCCTCAACTACAGCTATTCAACATGACAGTATAACTGAAAGCCATTATTTTTTTTAATTGAATAAGTTATGAAAAACAACTGCTTTTAAGTGAACTTAAAGGGGTTATATGATGCTATTTTAAAGATCATTATTTTGTGTATTTGGTATAACAGAATATGTTGACATGCTTTAATGTTATTTTTTAATGTAATTATTTTTCAAATACTGTACATTATTGTAGGTCCTCTATGCCCGATTTTAGGTAGGCTTGGTTGACTTAACTTTTATAAAGAATATCTCTTTGGTTTTGAGACTTTAGTCTTTGCAACTTTACAGATCTTCTTTATGCACCAAGAGCTTGTATCACTTCAAAGAGAAAGGAAAAATTGAAATCGCATCATATGACCCCTTTAAAACAATTTCACATAAGCTATAAATAGTATATGCAAAAACTAAATTGAATATAGATTCATCTATTCAAGCTACTAAAGTTAATCAGCGAGCTAAAGGGAGCAGTGAGTGATTTCTCTTTTTATTTTGTTCTTTGATTTCCATCAATTACACAGACTGCAGCAGGTTTCACTCTAAAAGCAGTGTGGCCTCTTTAAAACCCGACGCACGTGGCGCGGATCTGAAACATTCGATCTTCTCTCAGTTTCTAGGGTCCATTTAGGACTAAAATTTTTTAAAACTTAAAAACAAACAAATAAAAACGTCATACTTTGTGAACAAATCTAAAATCGATTTCCCTTCGCCTCTTTATAACTCAGAGTAAATATTCAGGAGTACTCACTGATAATCAAGCGTGGATTTGAATGCCGCATCATGGAAAACTTGATCCAAAGGTGTTCCTTGCCACAAGTAAACACAGGCTGAGAGTCGTCAGACACCACGACTCCATTCAAATTCTGTTGATCTCCTTGATGAAGGAATAAGCGGATTTTATGACAAGTCAAGTCAGTAAAACAAAAATTATTTTAAAACACCAATAATCTTATAAGCAGCTTAACTTACTCAAGAATCGCCAAGTCACAGGTCCTCGGAGAATCTCTTCAAATGCGTCATTTTGCGAGGGATTCGCTCCGTTTTGGTCCGCATTATTAACCAGACTGTGGTCCTCACATGCATGGCATTTGAAAGTGGATTGGATCGTCGAGTCGTCCGCTGGATCACTTGAAAACGCTAAAGTGTTGACATATCGTTCACAGTCATCTTCGTGAGCGTCAGCAGCTCTCAAATACAACCTCTCCAAGTCCGCGGGAGACTGCTGTGCTTTGAGCGACTCATTTGATCTAACGTTATTTGTAACGACTTCTGCATCGTCTTTGTTAAGATGGGCTAATGTCAATATTACAAATTCCCAATTTATCAGTAACGCTATCATCTTTAAACTCCTGTTCCACGTCATTTCAGGTCCGTGCATGATAATGACATATCATGAAGCCAGAAAAAAAAATAATAATAATAAAAAAAATCAAGCCCCATAGACTTCCGGCGCAAACGACCCAAGTAAGGCCAAACTTGTGCAGGAAGACAGCAGGGCCTATTTATCTACTACACAGACCAATCGGCGATTTCCTCGACGCAGTGCATGCCGGTTAGATTTTCATCTATTTTCATCATTAGCCTATCTATTTTAATCTACTATAATAATATAATCAATTTTCATGTAACCCAATCTTTAATGAAAAACGGATGACTTAAATTTGCTGTTATAGGTGAGATTATTGTTTACTATTTTTAAACTTTGTTTAAATAAGTTTATAATATGAGTAGGCGTTTATGTATATTACATGACTTAATTTCAGGCTACTTTCTCTGGTTATTTTTTTTAAATATAAAAATGATTTAATTTATAATTGTGGTATTGTCATATAGTGCAAAATAACATCCACAATATTCCTACTTCCTGGCGCTTGCGCTGTGCGGTGAAACGGCTGAGTTGACGCAGCACTCTCTGAAAAAAACATTTCGAAGAGACTCATGGGAGTGTGTGCATCAGCAGGTCTTAGCTGTGGTCCTGGTTCCCGTGCAGGTAAGAATCTCAGAGTCTGTGGAACTATAGCACTATTCACATGGGATTAGTCAAGTCACCTTTATTTATATAGCGCATACAATACTGATTGTGTCAAAGCAGCTTTACAGTGTCAACAGGAAAATCTGTAATTTGTAAAGTAAAAATTCTCCAGCAAATGACCTACCATATTTCGCCGAACACCGAGGTCCTGTGATAATATTAGTCCCGTGTGAATCGGCATCTCTGTGATTTGACCAGGATTTTGTGGGGTCGTATATAATTTTTTCAAGGTTTTTGTTTCCTGTGCACCTTTTTATCTTTCGCGAAGAATGGAGGCTGTGTTGGAGTGTTTTGATAGTATTTTGGGTGCTGGGTCATATCGCTATACACCATACAACTATACAGTTTGCAGAAAGAGAAATCTAAAAACCATCAGAAGAGCGAAAACAAAAAGAATGATTTTTAGGAAATACAAACCGGAAGAAAAGCACTGTGCTGAAAAGGGGCAGTGCTGCATAAGGCCTTCAAGAGGAACTGAATTTATTTGTGAAGGATTATGTACAGTATGTAATTAAGTGTAGCATAATATCTGGGGTGTCATTCTGAATCAACAGGAAAGAGTCAAAGGTGGCCAGAAAAGGTTAAAAACTTGAATTGTTAAGAGATGAACAGAAAAATAACATAACTGAACCAATGAGAAAAGACTGAATTGCTGAATTAAACTGAGGGACGTAAAAGTTCCTCTTGCAAATTAATGTTCAGCTTTCCACAGTTGTCATGTTGTATTCTCTTAGATTAGAACTTTTCAAACTTTTTGTTGACCTAAACAATAGTTTGGCATTTTTCTTACATTTTACAATTTTGCGGATTCATTAATTGTTTTGTAATTGTTTCTAGTTTATTTAGCTGATTTAAAAATGTTCCATAATGACCAGTTACCCTAATATAATGTCAGAAGGTACACTCTTAAAAATAAAGGTGCTTCAAAAGGTTCTTCACAGCGATGCCATAGAAGAACCATTTTTAGCAAAGGCTTACAGCCATACAGAAATTGCCATTCAGACACTGTGACAGCTAACCCTGGTCTTGCCTAAATATAGTCATTTCAATGGGACAACATTCTTCCAGCAAAAACTCCAGCAACTGGTCCCCTTAGTTCTCAGATGTGTTGCAGCCATCATATTCAAAATTACCTTTTTTTCATTCAAATGATACACTCCCTTTAAACATGTGATATGTTTTCTATGCTCTATTGTGAATAAAATATGGGTTTATGAGGTTGCATTTTGTTTTTATTTACATTTTACACAGCATCCCAGCTTTTCTGTAATTGTTGATATAATTTAAAACTTGTAGATTTAATGCTCTTGTGTAATAAATTAACTTAATATTTGGCATTTTCACCTGTTAAAACCCTTTATTTTGTCCCTTCTTTCTTTTGGAAATGTTTGTTTCCAGGGGCTCTGCTGATTGGCTCAAGTTTGCCCTGTGATTATGTTTGTTCTCTGGAGCTGTTTTGTGTTTGATGAAATTGTCTGATTACTGACACTGTTCTGGATTGCCCCTTTCAAGTTTGCTTACTTAACTTTGTAGATAATTTGTATATAATTGTAAATAGTGAAGGCTTGGGAAAGTAGGGAGACTGATGCCACCTTTTTGTTTATTGTAACCTCTTTTTGGACTGTTTTTGGTTAGGGAGCTAGTGTAGTATATTGTATTTTTATTTTATTTTTTGAGGGTTTTGTTATGATCACCAGCTGGAGTGCCCATGAGCTCCACAAGGGCACTCCCCTCCAGACTGTTCTCACATTCTCACAGACTACATTCCCCATAATCCTTTGCCCGGACTCGTCACCAGTTGCAATCCCCTCTCATCACCAGGGGCCTTTGGCCAATAATGAGCCGGCGTTCGGACGTAGAACACGGAAGCCTTCACTGTGCTTACTGTGTTAACCGCATAAGGATAATGACTTTTATTATCAGATCCATAGTACTTTTATGGATCTTGAGAGTTTGGGTGGCGTTGCTGTCAATGGAGGCCTCTCTGAGCCATCGGATATGATCAAAAATATCTTAATTTGTGTTCTGAAGATGAACGAAGGTCTTAGGGGTGTGGAACGACATGAGGGTGAGTAATTAATGACAGAATTTTCATTTTTGGGTGAACTATCCCTTTAAGGCTTAGAAATAATGGTGAAGAGAAAAAAATCAATTTCCACATAGATTAATCTGTTTATATGAATATAATGTGTATTTTCTAGTGGTATATAATGATTGTATAATATAACATAACTGTGTAATAAACGTATTGGCTTGAAATGAATGGGGCTATCAAATGTGTGAAAATCAAGTCTTTGCTCATAATAGGCAGGGGGTCCAATATTATTAGTCTAAAACTGGAAAGTGGCTGAGTTTAACAGGACAGAGGACCGTGAATTTACAAGATTCGAACCGCTTCCTGAACCAGTC